ATACTCAAGACGGGACAGCAACAGTGATTTAAATTTTATTAACATTGCTGTGGGGGTCTGATTTGAACGTTCTCATAATTTATCCTATCATTTTCTGGTCGCCGCTATATTTTGCACGGTTATGTTCACTAAATGTCAGGTCGTCAGGCATTTCCAGGCTTTCATCCATGTTGACCCTCTCATTGACATCCATGTTGACCCTGTTATTGACATCCATGTTGGCCCTGTTATTGACATCCATGTTGACCCTCTCGTTGACATCCATGTTGGCCCTCTCATTGACATGTTGGCCCTCTCATTGACATCCATGTTGGCCCTCTCATTGACATCCATGTTGGCCCTCTCATTGACATCCATGTTGGCCCTCTCGTTGACATCTATGTTGACCCTGTTATTGACATCTATGTTGACCTGGTACAGCACGATAACCCTTACCATGAGCTAGGGGGAAGGGAAAGTTCTCAGCCAGCTAACAAGAGTCACAGTTGTTCACCTCTTAAAATGTTGATATTTCAAATAGCATTAAACAATTAAAAAAAATTACTCATCTCTTTTCTGCGAGTAATATGGGCCCGGCTATTCCGGCAAGTGTTCTGAAACGCCTTGGTAACTAATTCACGTATTCTGATTGAAACGCAAACACTACTCCACCTTTAAGAAACCTGAGCTGGTTCTTTCGACGCTTGGCGGCAAGAAGGGAAGATTCAAAGGCGCGAAACGGCCTTTTCGCGCCTTTGAATCTTCCCTTCTTGCCGCCAAGCGTCGAAAGAACTACTCTTCCTCTTTCGTATTGCCCAAAAACTCACTAAATTGCATTTTGATACGATCATCAGTTTCAGTGATTTTTTTATTTTCCTGACATTAAGAGCCATAAACAGCACTCAAGACGCCTATCTTCGGGCGGAATAACCGAAATCAACCCAAAATATATATTTTCATGCATACAATAAACACCACCATATAGGATCCAGTCGTATGGAAACACCATAACAAACCGATAAATTTTATATACTTCAGTGGGTTAGGTTGCAGAATTAGGAAAAATTTACTTTATTAACTTAGGCTATCGCGGGCCGTCCATTGCCTGTTCCAGAAATATGTAGGTTAATACGATTCTCTTAAATAAAAGTTTTGTGACGTGATCAGTTCGTAGAGAATAAAGAATGCCAATGACAGTATATATCATTTTACACCTAAGATCTGTCTGAAATATATATATTATATATATATATATATATATATATATATATATATATATATATATTCTAAAAACTATTGAATTATTTGTACAAGTGCTTACAGTTACAATACTTTTCAACGTGAACTTACACTAATTATAATCAACATTTTCTTTGTAATGTTGACGTCATTTTAAAACAGAACATCTCTCTATCCAACTAGTACGTAACTACCAACTACTAAATAGTATCCAGCTACCCTCAGCTAGTGTGACAGCATCCATAAACTGCCATTACCCTGTACTTGCATGTAAACTACATTTACATATACAGTAACAACTTGCAGCCAATTTAAGTCTAGAATTCAAGCACTTCCCAACCCTTCAGCACCAAACGTGTTTCAGAAATAGTGGGAAAAAAAAACCCCGAGTGTTCTACAGGCCGGACCATAATGTCCACTAATAGTGACGTCGACTGGAGATCTAACGGAGCAGAAACGTGTGATGGAAACTCGATAATTGTAACGAAATATACTGCTACACGGAATCATGTGGAAGGGACGCGATAGCATGGCCTAAGTGTCTGGTGGATTTGTAACTGCCCGGGGCCAAGCTCGTTTTCGTCTAACCTAGCAAGTAGAAAAATTATTTTATTATATATATATATATATATATATATATATATATATATATATATTATATATACATATATATATATATACATATATATTATACAGTATATTCATATATGAATATGCATATTCATATAATAATAAAGCAAGAATGAATAAAACTGCTCAATTCCAAACGTAGTTTCAATCTAAAACCATAAATTTACAATTGTCCATGCCAACAAACAGTTTTAATAGTACTGAATATTTGCAGATAAAATGCAGTAGGCTATATAATCCGTAAAATATGAAAGTGTATACATTAATTCCCTTTCCAGCAAGCTTCTTTAGTGCAAAATACACCAGGAGAAATTCGGCAATAAATGTCACTTGAATGGTTGTTTTTGTTGGGGGCTCGACAGAGGCTTATCAGATGGGATGGTGGTGGCTACCTACCTTGAGGTTACCTTTAGCCAACACTATGGCTACCTGGCCCTAAGGATATATACGCCCAGGGATGCCCTTCAGGACGCTATCGTAACGCCACAGTAATGCCCTCCTGTGATATACGGACAGTACATCGATATACACAACTATTTCCAGAATTCACGGCGGTGAACGGAAAATTCATACAAATAAAGTCGGTATACTAAACAGCATTTAAAAATGGCCTTCTGTCATGTCATTTTCTTGGGGGAATACTTGACATTTTGATTGTAGCCCTATACAATATATGATTTATATTTCTCGGAGACAGCTGTCATTTTTCAAAAGGGCGGCATGGCGATCTTAGGACGGATGCGGGCGTCGTTAATCTATCTGGTCAGTCAAACATGGGATACAGTCTGCCCCCCTGGAGTGAGCCGTCCCTTGCTTTATTTTGTTGTAGTGCTCGGGCTCCACTCCCCACCCCCCCACAGTTTCCCCTCCCCCTGCCTCAACCAACTCCATCCCTATCCAAGCCTGGTCGCGTTATGTGATCGCTATTATCCTTTCCACCGCCCTTCCTTACCCTATTCCCATTTTATTCTTTCCCCTCATGCCTAACGACTTTCCATACTCCCCATTACACTGCCCAACCACTTGGGCTGGACGGTAGGGCGCTTCATGCAGTTCGGCGTTCAATCTCCGACCGTCCAAGTGGTTGGACCATTCCTTCCCCCCAGTCCCATCCCAAATCCTTAACCTGACCTCTTCCAAGTGTTATATAGTCGTAATGGCTTGGCGCCTTCCCCGAATAATTCCCTCCCTCCCTCCCCATTCCACTCCACTCCTTTTTTCATCACCCCAGGCCATCCTATCCCTTCTTACCTCGCCCCCATTCTACCCTCTCCCGTCTCCACCCAGTTTAGAATGAAGCGCCTATTATCGTTATTACTAGTTAATAAAAAAGAAACTTTCATTTTTGAGTTATATAACAAAAAAGTGGTTTCAAAACTTGAATATCCGTCGGCCATTTATGTAAACCAGTTTACTATGACATCCATATTATAGGCGAGTATATTTTGCGCATTGTTTTAGACATCCCTTATATATTTGCCTTTCCTTGCTCACCTGTTGAACTTGCTTGGTTACCGGTCGCCTGCTTAGTTGCAAGACACACTGCCAGCATGTAGAAGTCCCTGCAAATACTTTTAGATGTCCCTTCAGTGGACGTGTAACAATAACAAATGAAATGTCTAGGGAAACCTCATCCCCCAGGCCACCCATCCACACACATAAGGGAAGGTATCGCCATGAAGGGGAAGTGTGGGAGGCAGAGCATCAACTAAATTCTCCGCAGAACTAAATTCTTCTCGAAATACACTCGGGAAAGCGTGATAATTTCCTCCTCCTTCCCATTTGGCTTCCATTTGAGGCTTCCCATTTGACCACTCTAAGCTCGTGACTCAGATTCAATCCTCACTACGACTACAGCGTTTGTAACTAGCGTCTTCATATAATTTTATAGTATTAAAAAAAAATACAGACGATTCTTAGTTCTTAGTTGGGTACATTATTTGTCTAAGAAAAATCTCGAAGCAGATTCGATGCCACCATCGTGCTACTAAGATTATCTAAGATTAGTTACTGTGATTTCATTACGTATTAGGTTATTTTTTATTAAGCCACTAATAACTGCTGATTGGAGACCTCCTTTGTATTTTTGAATGATCAATAATGGACACGTTGAACACATTAGTTACAAAAATAAAAACATGTTTCATTACTTCTTCCAATGATTTCAGTTTTATGAGTCATGATTTTTAGATTTATGGGGCATGATTTTAGATTTATGGGGCTTGATTTCAATTTTATAGGTCATGATTTCTGATTTAAGGTGCATGATTTCTGATTTATGGGGCATGATCTCTGACTTATGGGGCATTATTTCTGACTTATGGGGCATTATTTCTAACTTATGGGGCATTACTTCTGACTTTGTAGGCATTATTTCTGACTTCTGGGTCATGAATCCTGATGTATGGGACATGATTTCAGACATGGGATGTGATTTCAGATTTATGGGACGTGATTTCAGATTTAAGGGACATGGTTTCAGACTAATGGGACATGATTTCAGACTTATGGGACATGATTTCAGACTTATGGGACATGATTTCAGACTTATGGGACATGATTTCAGACTTATGGGACATGATTTCAGACTTATGGGACATGATTTCAGACTTATGGGACATGATTTCAGACTTATGGGACATGATTTTAGACTTATGGGACATGATTTCAGACTTATGGGACATGATTTCAGACTTATGGGACATGATTTCAGACTTATGGGACATGATTTCAGACTTATGGGACATGATTTCAGACTTATGGGACATGATTTCAGACTTAAGGGACATGATATCAGACTTATGGGCCCGATTCATAGTTCTGGCATGCCTGTATCATTGGACTGATTAATATTTCTCTAAGAGGAAATTCTGAGTGAATTCTCTTAACCGTAGCTTTCGACTGTGTTACAATAATTGGTTAGGATCCCTTGCACTTAAGAAAACATTGACGTACAGGTGACATGACTAGCAGTAGCTGAGCACTTGTGGAGTGAACATGCCTTACCTTGAGGTTACCTTGAGGTGCTTCCGGGGCTTAGCGTCCCCGCGGCCCGGTCGTCGACCAGGCCTCCTGGTTGCCGGACTGATCAACCAGGCTGTTGGACGCGGCTGCTCGCAGCCTGACGTGTGAGTCACAGCCTGGTTGATCAGGTATCCTTTGGAGGATACTATGGAGCTACTATGCCGACCATAGTAACTACGGAGTGTGAAGGTGACTTACCTTCAACATTCTCGGTGGCGAGGATAATGATCGTCTTGATAGCCGGAATGGCCCAAGCTGCCAAGTGGAACCAGGCAGAGTTGTTCTCGATGGCCTCGTGACTCCACTTGAGGCCCGCCGCCAAGAACCAAGTGAGGGTCAACACCACCCACCAGATTGACGCCGCCATCGAGAAGAAGTAGAGGGTCATGAAGACGATGGTGCACCACTCACGGTCCACTCCCTGGGTGATGGTGCGTACCATCTGATCTCGCAGCTCCGGCAGGTACTGCGGGGGATCCCACGGCTCGTCGCAGGCAACGCGGTCGCCCTGCACCAGGCCTACCACGTAGGTGGCAGCGATGAACCAGTAGCACATGCTGATGAAGATGATGGGACGCTCCGGGTAGCGGAAGCGACGCACGTCTGCCAGGAAGGAGGCGACGGTGAAGGTGGTCGAGGCGAGGCAGACGGCAGCCCAACCTCCCACCCAGTGCCTCGAAAACTTCAGTTCGTCCTCGTTGAAGAACATGCCATTGCAGGGCGCGCCACAGTCGTCTGACTCCACTCCCCCCACCCACAGCTTGTACTCCTGCTGCTTCGGTACTTTGAAGTGTGCCGGGCACTGGAAATCCTTGCCGGCGTACTGCGGCCCTATGGGAGGCCGAGGCTCGGGATCTGGCACGGGGAAGGAGGAGGCAGGCGGAGAGGTGCTGTTCTCCCCCACACACAGTTCCTCGTGGGGCCCGGCCGGGAACTTGTTGCAATCCAGTGACTCGGGCCACTGGAACCCGAACTTGTTCATAAGGTCCTCGCAGCCGTCCTTAGCAGACAGACACAGATGCCGACACGGCGGCAGCGGCCGGTCAAGGATGGTACACACAGGCACGTACACACTACACAAGAAGAAATGCAGGTCCTGGGAACACTGGACCTTCACCAGCGGGAAGAACTGGTGGACCTCCATGCCGGCCTCCTCCTGCGTGTTGTGGTTGAGCAGGTTGGGCATGATGGTGGTGTTGTACTGGATGTCCTTACACAGCCTGATGGTGATGGGCTCGCAGCGGTCGTGGCGAGGGAGCATGTCGTGGTCTGAGATGTGCTCCACCCGCCCCGGGCCAGGCCGTGTCCCGCTTCGCCCTCCTATACCACCTCCGGTCATCTGGGCCGCACACAGCGTGGCCCCCAGCAGCAGCAGCAGCAGCAGCCTGGAGGAGGAGGAGGAGGGTGCAGCTGTAAGCCGCTGAGACGCTTGCCTCCTCTCGCCCACCGACACCGCCATGCTGTGAACTCACGCTCCAATATCTCACTTCACGCACACCTACGATTCCTTCCACTCCAGAGCACTGATCTTTCTCCTCTAAATTATTCAAACATATCAACTATTCCTTACATTATCCAAAGTACACAGTAACCACACACGCGTCAGCACCAAAGGGCAACACACCCTCCCCTCCACAAGGTCGTACAGCAACTGAAGTCCCTGTTGTTATTTTCCTCAGCACAGACGGCACAGGTTGCCAACCCGGAATAATACTTTACTCGAAGATAAACTTCTATAAACCCTCTCACGTATATGTGTCTTTCTTGCTGTTTACTAAAATATATATCACATTTCCCTCTATGCAAATAATATAACCTAAGTTCCGAGAAATACACCAGTGATACTATAAAGACGCCACAAACATTGATGTATTTTACGCAAAATTCTCGATTCACCATCCGCGCTTCCATTGGGGTGGGCGCGCCAAGGCGAGATGGGTTGGGCTTCCTCATTGGCTGGAAGAGACGGGCGGGCGAATAGTTGACTACGAGAGAAAATGTTCCTGGCGCTTAGGTTAAAATTGCGAGCAAGAATGATTTAGTGAAACAGACAGACAAATGTTGCAGAATGAAGACTGTTAAATGCAACTAACTGCAATTATACAATATGTTTTAATATGAATGCATAAAAATGAACAGTAAAACAAAACAAAATTAGCTTGGTGACATCAGGCGGAAGATTTTCATACGCATTCGCGTTCATTGACTTCAGATGTTGATAAACCTGGAGAGAATATTAGTCGAGGCTGGGTTTATTGTGAATTTTTACGCGTGCTTGCCTGCTTGTGAGCATGTTCCCACGCGTATGGGCTTCTCAGTCTGCTTATTCCACAGGAATACAAATGATTATTGTTTCCAATGTCATTGATTATTATATACATTTCATGTTTGCCACGAAAGCTGGGAGAGAACAGGTTATAGAGAGGAAGCATTGAAGTAAAACACATACTACCAGTGTTTAACCCAGCAGCTGAAGGTCGCGCGATGAAGTAATAGTTGTATTTTACAGTTGAGCAATTGCACATTAGACTAAAAAGGATGTAATTAGGTCTACAAGCCCACAAAGTGCATCATTTGTGGTAGGCAAAGAAGAATTTAAAGTGAAATGAGGATGTGGTGGTGGTGGTGGGGAAGAAACTGGGAGTATTTCTAGATATTCTGAGTGTATCATGACTGAGGACAGTGATGGTGTTCATGGCTGAGGACAGTGATGGTGTATCATGACTGAGGGCAGTGATGGTGTTTATGGCTGAGGGCAGTGATGGTGTTTATGCAGTGATGGTGTTTGATGAGGGCAGTGCTGAGGGCAGTGATGGTGTTTATGGCTGAGGGCAGTGATGGTGTTTATGGCTGAGGGCAGTGATGGTGTTTATGGCTGAGGGCAGTGATGGTGTTTATGGCTGAGGGCAGTGATGGTGTTTATGGCTGAGGGCAGTGATGGTGTTTATGGCTGAGGGCAGTGATGGTGTTTATGACTGAGGGCAGTGATGGTGTATCATGACTGAGGGCAGTGATGGTGTATCATGACTGAGGACAGTGATGGTGTATCATGACTGAGGGCAGTGATGGTGTATCATGACTGAGGGCAGTGATGGTGTATCATGACTGAGGGCAGTGATGGTGTATCATGACTGAGGGCAGTGATGGTGTTCATGGCTGAGGGCAGTGATGGTGTATCATGACTGAGGGCAGTGATGGTGTATCATGACTGAGGGCAGTGATGGTGTTCATGACTGAGGGCAGTGATGGTGTATCATGACTGAGGACAGTGAGGGCAGTGATGGTGTATCATGACTGAGGGCAGTGATGGTGTTTATGGCTGAGGGCAGTGATGGTGTATCATGACTGAGGGCAGTGATGGTGTTCATGACTGAGGGCAGTGATGGTGTTCATGACTGAGGGCAGTGATGGTGTATCATGACTGAGCAGTGATGGTGTTCATGGCTGAGGGCAGTGATGGTGTATCATGACTGAGGGCAGTGATGGTGTTTATGGCTGAGGGCAGTGATGGTGTATCATGACTGAGAGCAGTGATGGTGTTCATGACTGAGGACAGTGATGGTGTTCATGACTGAGGGCAGTGATGGTGTATCATGACTGAGGGCAGTGATGGTGTATCATGACTGAGGGCAGTGATGGTGTTCATGACTGAGGGCAGTGATGGTGTATCATGTCTGAGGGCAGTGATGGTGTATCATGTCTGAGGGCAGTGATGGTGTATCATGACTGAGGGCAGTGATGGTGTATCATGACTGAGGGCAGTGATGGTGTTCATGGCTGAGGGCAGTGATGGTGTATCATGACTGAGGGCAGTGATGGTGTTTATGGCTGAGGGCAGTGATGGTGTATCATGACTGAGGACAGTGATGGTGTATCATGACTGAGGGCAGTGATGGTGTATCATGACTGAGGGCAGTGATGGTGTTCATGACTGAGGGCAGTGATGGTGTTCATGGCTGAGGGCAGTGATTGTGTTCATGACTGAGGGCAGCGATGGTGTTCATGACTGAGGGCAGTGATGGTGTATCATGGCTGAGGGCAGTGATGGTGTTCATGACTGAGAGCAGTGATGGTGTATCATGACTGAGGGCAGTGATGGTGTTCATGACTGAGGGCAGTGATGGTGTATCATGGCTGAGAGCAGTGATGGTGTATCATGACTGAGGACAGTGATGGTGTTCATGACTGAGGACAGTGATGGTGTATCATGACTGAGGGCAGTGATGGTGTATCATGACTGAGGACAGTGATGGTGTATCATGACTGAGGACAGTGATGGTGTATCATGACTGAGGACAGTGATGGTGTATCATGACTGAGGACAGTGATGGTGTATCATGACTGAGGGCAGTGATGGTGTATCATGACTGAGGGCAGTGATGGTGTATCATGACTGAGGGCAGTGATGGTGTTCATGACTGAGGGCAGTGATGGTGTTCATGACTGAGGGCAGTGATGGTGTTCATGACTGAGGGCAGTGATGGTGTTCATGACTGAGGGCAGTGATGGTGTATCATGACTGAGGACAGTGAGTCGGGAGCCGGTCGGCCGAGCGGACAGCACGCTGATCCTGTGGTCCCGGGTTCGATCCCGGGCGCCGGCGAGAAACAATGGGCAGAGTTTCTTTCACCCTATGCCCCTGTTACCTAGCAGTAAATAGGTACCTGGGTGTTAGTCAGCTGTCACGGGCTGCTTCCTGGGGGTGGAGGCCTGGTCGAGGACCGGGCCGCGGGGACACTAAAGCCCCGAAATCATCTCAAGATAACCTCAAGTGATGGTGTATCATGACTGAGGGCAGTGATGGTGTATCATGACTGAGAGCAGTGATGGTGTTCATGGCGTATTGTTATTCTATCAACTTTCAACAGTCACCATTTTCCAATATTCATTAATAGTTTGTATATTTGTTCTGTCATGGAGATTTACACTAGAAGTTTTACCAATGGGTATTACAAATTTATCTCTATTTTGTATTCTCTGTATTTTTGCTTGATTTGTTTTAGCTGCTAGGAACAGGGCCGTGGTGCATATATGATGAGTATAAGCGTGTGGGACTTTACACTGATGAATTATAATGAGTGTTTGGATATATTTTGGGATATAAACTATATATTAGTTTGGATATATATCTATATAAATAGCCTAGTGATTTGAGTGCAATGGAGTATTTTGGGGTAACGAGTGTATATCAAACACTCGTTACCCCAAAATAACGGTCTCTTCTTAAGTATATCAAAATTTTCGCCAAGTGCTATGATCGTTGGTAAAGTTATAAATTATGTATGTGGGAGATCCTAAATATAATTTATTTGGGACTGTGTTTACACGTGTACTGTGTTGGGATCGAACTGTTGACAACCCAACACATTTAAGTTAAGTTTATTCTGAATGTTTATCCTATGCTTCGTTGTACTACAACGAAGTACATGAATCTGAACAGGTGTCAGCCTCAGCCGGACCTTCCTATTGTCAGGTGCGACACACTTTGTGCCGAGGTCTGACAAAGGACAAGAAAATAAGATGGTATAAAACTTCATCATGGATATATCTCTAATCACCTTATATACAATATATATATATATATATATATATATATATATATATATATATATATATATATATATATATATATATATATATATATATATATATGTCGTACCTAGTAGCCAGAATGCACTTCTCGGCTTACTATTCAAGGCCCGATTTGCCTAATGAGCCAAGTTTTCCTGAATTAATATATTTTCTCTAATTTTTTTCTTATGAAATGATATTTAATTATGTATGAGGTCAATTTTTTTTTATTGGAGTTAAAATTAACGTAGACATATGACCGAACCTAACCAACCCTACCTAACCTATCTGTATAGGTTAGGTTGGGTTAAGTAGCCGAAAAATTTAGGTTAGGTTAGGGTAGGTAGGTTAGATAGTCGAAAAACAATTCATGAAAACTTAGCTTATTAGGCAAATCGGGCCTTGCATAGTAGGCTGAGAAGTGAGTTCTGGCTACTAGGTACGACATATATATATATATATTATATATATATATAGAAAGAGACACTGCGACCACGAAATGGTCGTCTCTTATCCGATTGTTCTTTCCACTTATAAATTCACTTGTCCGTAATTTTGGACCACTATTCGGAAAATCAGCGCGTTACCTCCACGCCGACCTCTAAATCTCAAAGCTGTTATCTTCCATAACTTTCAAGAACGTCGACCATGCCTCGAGGTCCTCTTCCTTCGTGAGGGTGGAGCACACTAACAGTTGGGTCCGTTGGTCACACATCCACACGCGACGACAGCCTGTTGACTCAATGGAGGGGAGTAGATGTCTGTCTCTCCACATGCTCCGGCCAGCACACGTTACCTCGCCCGGTGGCTCTGATTGGCTAACAGAAATTCCCGCCACCGGACGAGCCATACCATGCTGACCGTTAACGACCTCCATGGTTGTTAACCTCGTTCTTCCTGTAATAATGAACGTATGACTTAAATAACCGTGCCATTATGCGATGAAATAACACGATACGATATATCGTAACAACTGCAAAATAAGATTCACGTGATGCTAGGCTTTGGACGGTTAGTCTGGATACGCTAGTTGTATTTCCAACATATGACTGACTATTTCGTCTTGTGGTTTACGTGGTATGTTGACAAGTGCTACACTTGTAGTAAATTGACAATTTACTACAAATATTAGATATACACATATATAAAGATATATTATACATATAAAATTAGATATACACAAAGGAAACTATGAGGAGAAAGCGATAAGCCAGTATGACTAAAGAGTACATGGTAGGGATACAAGGATAGGTTGAGAGTTAGGATAGGAGAATGAACGATTCCTCACCCCCCCCCCCCTCCCTTGGACCAACGGTAATCGAACGCCATCCTGCAAGATGTGAAACCGTTGCCGTAGAGGCCAGTCTGAGTGGCAGGGCTAGCGTATGGTGAGTTACAGTGTTATGAGGTCAGTAATAACAAACATGTAGAGAGTGTAAGAGCTACAACACATTCTGAGAATCTCAGTATTAAAGCTGAAATGGTCAGAATGTTTTCAAAGGAATTGTCTATCTAGTGTCTAGGTAGTTACATATATATATATTAGTGATGGAAACTCAAAGATATGATTTTTACTCTTTCATGCCTTTTTTTATATTCAAAAGCTTTTCCACTATCTCTAATGATGAGTACTGCTTTGAGAACTTGTTTACGATTAATGTAAATGAAGTATGTCACAACATGTGGAGCGTTTCGGTTAAGTCAGCGAAGCCTAAAACCAAACAATTATTCTGTCAGTAGTTCATTGTCTTCTGAATGATATTCGGGTATATTGTTTGTTAAGCCATGGCATACTTTACCTGATATTTGGCCTCAAGTAAACTAAGTGATCTGTAGTTTATGGGGTGATCACGGGTTTTTTTCCCCTGGCCCCGGTGTGAAGAGAGCACTGTAGCGGCCGCCAGAGACAGAAGAGAGAGAAGCCAGAGGCGAGAGAGGCGCTGTAAAAGGTCAGCGAGAGATTAACGATACGAATCTCTCTGGTGAGAACTTGGCTGTATTACGAGGGTCTGTGAGGCGTGCCCATAGAGGGTCCTCTTGGTTTCAGTAGGTGCAATGTATATATATATATATATATATATATATATATATATATATATATATATATATATATATATATATATATATATATATATATATATATATATATATATATATATATATATATATAATATACACACACACACAGTAACACTGACTCCATACACAGCTTTAAGTGTAGATATGATAGAGCCAGTAGGATCAGTTAGGAACCTGTACATTAGTTGATTGACCGTTGGGAGGCGGGACCAAAGAGCCAGAGCTCAACCCCCGCAAGCACAACTAGGTGAATACACATGCAGCAGCCCGGTAAACCGTTGTGTTTACATCAGTGTTGCAACAGTGTGCACCTGTGTTTGTGCTAGTATGTTTGCAACACGCCGGCAACCTTCAAGGTACCTTGAGGTTACCTTGAGGTGCTTCCGGGGCTTAGCGTCCCCGCGGCCCGGTCGTCGACCAGGCCTCCTGGTTGCTGGACTGATCAACCAGGCTGTTGGACGCGGCTGCTCGCAGCCTGACGTATGAGTCACAGCCTGGTTGATCAGGTAGTTCTTGGTAGAGCCAAGCCTCGTCCAGATGTCGGCAGGGCGTCCGTGCGAGCACCAGAAGCAACAGCTAAGTCGATCAATCAAAGCGGCGTCACTGTGTATGCATGTGCTGAAGAAAGGTACACACACACCAGCTAACGTTGGCGAGGCGAGCCGTACCCCGGAGGGCCGTACCCTTGAGACCCGTACCCTGGTGGCCAGATCTGGCCGATAGGTCAATCGGGGTCAACACCGTTGACCTCAATGGTCTTGTTACACCTGCTAATGCCATTGTGTGGCGCGTGGTACACAGTGTGGCGTGTGGTGTGGCAATGTGTGGTACACAACTCGCACACACTTCACACATTTTATGAGGTAAATAATGTATAATTTAAAAAGGCGGTAAAACTTGACACCCATCACTTAACTGGACGAGATTTCTGCCCCCTGTCTCACGCCAACATCTTCTCCCTGCACTCTGGCATGTCCTGCGGGGACATGTCGAACGCCTGTCTGAGGTCGAGTGCCTGTCTGAGGTCGAGTGCCTGCCTGAGGTTGAGTGCCTGTCTGAGGTCGAGTGCCTGCCTGAGGTCGAGTGCCTGCCTGAGGTCGTGTCTCTTGACGGGGCTCGTCTTCAGCGGCGTCCAAAACCAACAGTCTTGTCCGCATACACGTCGTTGGTGACGGTAAAACTGACGCACCCTCGTCGTTACATCATTCTGGTCAACAATGCGCTAAAACAAAAAACAAAATAACGTATATAATTATCTCGATCCTAAGCAGAGGATGTTGGGACAGGTAGACACTGCGATTACTGTCCCTCCCGTCCATAACGGAAGAGGAGAGACAGAAATGGCATCTCTGCGCAGAGTGGATTGCCAAATTTGTTGGATTTTCTTTACTTTGTAATGAAATAATAATGCTTTATTTTACTTAGGCCTGGTGCCTACTTATTCTTATTAGCCTGGTGCAGCGGTAAGTTATTACTGAGCTTGATGGAATAAAGAATTATTAATATTTTTGGGACTTATTTGACGCTTATCTTGACGTGTACTGGTATTATTGTATGTTAAACGGTGTTTTATTATAATTATTCTCTTCGCAATTAATTTTATAAAGCAATTGTTCTGTTCGCAATTAATTTTTAGAATTTTTTTTATCGTTTTTATATAATTTGTTGAAAGTGTATATAATTATTATTAGTACTGTCTTTCCTTGTTGTTACTTGATATCATCTTTTGATCATTTTGAGCTGGCATAAGGTAAGTAAACTATCATAGGAAATTTTTAAATTATTCCTCTTCATGTTTATTCTTAGTTCCAAGCAAGTTATTCGGTGTGATCAATCTTTAAATAGCTAAATGTTGGGATTGCTGGAGTTGAGTGTTCTACTTTGCTTGTATTTGGTGTTGCTGGGTTACGGCTGTACATTCATAACCAGGCAATTTTAGCAGTGTTCTATTTATTGTTTACCTAATTTAAATTACCTCCAATAGCCTCGCAATTGGTCCTGTCTGGTGATAGAATTTGGAAACTTGCAAAGCCACAAATTTGATTGGGCTGGAAGATGCATTTTTGACTAATACGTTAGTCAAGCGAAAAGACCTTTCGACAGGATCAATGCTACTATTTGACTAATATTACCAAATAGCTGATGTCTTGCGATTTGATGACCGCGATTATAGCATCCTAACATGGTCTGTGTAACTGAAGTTGGCTACAGATTCACATGGGCGTGCTATGTGAAAGGAGTCCCCCACTATCCCAATAAACCCCCTCCCAATAAATATCTATTAAAAATAATAGAAGTGTTATGAGAGACATTTTCATTTTTGTCATTTTAATTTTCAGAAAACTGTCATTTTCATTTTCAGAAAACTGTCATTTTCATTTTCAGAAAACTGTCATTTTCATTTTCAGAAAACTGTCTTTTTCAGAAATATCAAGTTCTGTCCCTTCGTTTTGTTATAATTAAATTTAATCGTAAACGGATAAGTTCAGTTATCAACGCAAAGTTCAGCTGTTAAATCTGCGGAATATTCGATTACGGAATATCCTGATCTTTATCTAATGTAAAATTAATTTTATCCCTTGAACATGTCTTAATAATGACTGCTGTCTACCCACACTGGCCCTATTCGTCTAATTAACGATGCCGAATCCACCGCGGACACACACATCCCTGTTTAAGGCTGATTGTAGTGGCAAAGCCTATGCGAAGGCTGAACGACACTGATCATTGTGCGTAGTGCAAAACTCGCCCTCTGGCTGAGGCTAGCGTAAGGAAGTACAAAGCTGCATATGTAAGGCTATCTTGTTGCTGTAGGGCAGCCTACTCGCTGTTGCTGTCTGATTTACGGAGGTTCGATTTGCACATGTGAAACTCTGCATACTGTTGTTGTTGTTGTTACTGCTGCTGCTGTTGCTCATACTTTTTTGTTTGCCGTTTTTCCCATGTTGTTACCGTTTCTGTTGTTGTTTCTGCCGTTGTTGGTGTTGTCATTGTTGCTACTGTTTTTGTTGTTACTGCTACTATTGCGGCTGCTGTTGGAGTTGCTTCCATTTTTGTTAATATTGTTGCTGGTACTGATATAGCTGTTTCTACTGCTGTTGCGGCTATTTCTGCTGCAAGTGTTCGTTAATGATGCTACTGTTGTCGGTACTGCTGCTGCCAATGCTACTATTGTTGATGCTGCTGTGGCCAGGCTTCACTCGACCATGTAGGCTTCTCTCCCGGACCAAATGTGTGTGTACTAATGAGGATGCGTTCTGTCCTTGATGCACTGAAAGCCTCGTGTCATGAACCAGGATTTGTCTGGCTTTTCAGCATTTAATAATGGCATTATTATGAACAGTGCTAATGCAAACTTCAAATATCGAATGAACTCGCATAATTCGTGACTCGACATGCATACTGAAGGTAAATAGTTCACGATGTAAATAATATTATCACATCTGGCAACTGCATGTCGTGAATTAGAGCCTGAGGGAGGGTAAGAGCCAGTTGCGTGCTGGGCCTCCTAGCGAGCGGGCGAGGAGGTAGTGGGTCACTCTCTTGCTACTGCTGACCTCTCTCTCTCTCTCTCTAGAACTGTCTTTAGAGATCAGTATCAATCTCTGAATGGATATTAAGAGAAGCCGAGATGTTTACCAGAGCGGCTGTCTCCTGGTTATCTAAAGCGGTGGTGTGTGTAGTGTGTGGTGTCGCACTGCTAGGAGTCGATGGAGTTTCAATTGGAACCTCCAGTATGGGTTCGTCTACCTGTGAGCCCATCTCTGTGCCCATGTGCATCAACGAACTGCCGTATAACGCCACCTGTATGCCCAACATCTTCGACCATACCACGCAGGATGAAGCCAGATTTGAGCTGCGCAAGTATAGACTCATGCTGGAGCATGGCTGCTCCTCCGCCCTGCGGGAGCTGGCATGTAGCGTGTACCTGCCGGCGTGTACCGCTTCGGGCCAAGTATTACTGCCCTGTCGCAGCCTCTGCCTCGCCGCCTGGGCAGACTGTGAGTCCACCATGAACCTGCATGACATGTCGTGGCCGCAGGAGCTGGACTGTGACAAGTTCCCAGACGGACCGGGCGAGGGGCTCTGCATGGAGGGTAGGAAGATTTACTCTGAAAATTCTGAAAATACCTTCATGGCCACGGTGAAAGACATGGCTCCACCTATTCACAGCTCGACAGTCAACAGCGCAGCAGTGGCCGTCAGCAACACCCACAGTGGTGAGCATCACTGCGAAGCCATTAGAGTGCCCATGTGTTCCGACCTGCCCTACAACACCACCCGCCTCCCCAATGCTCTTCACCATAAAACTCAGGAACAAGCGTCTTCCATAGTTCTCTTTCTGTTGCCAGTTATGATGTCTGAGTGTTCTCCTGACCTGCGACTCTTGGTGTGTAGCATCTTCGTGCCGCCGTGCGCGTCGTCAGAGAAGGAGCGACTACCTTGTCGCAGTCTGTGTGCGTCTGTCAGGTCTGGCTGTGAAGGACTTATGAACAGATTCAACATCCCGTGGCCCTCTGAGCTGGTCTGCGATATGCTGCCATCTGGCCCCAACGATGGGTGTGTCGGTGGAAATGTAGAGTCCACAGAGGACTACACGCTAGCCACGACCTCTGGAGCACCCTACAATCCACCAGAAGAAGGACGTGATCTCAACACCCAGGTCGCACCTGCGGCCGGCACTTGTGAAGCCATAACTGCTCCTATGTGTCACACCTTCTCACACGCCACCCACATGCCCAATACATTCAACCACAGCTCGCAGGAAGAAGTGCAAGTCAAGCTTCGTCAGCTCTGGCCTTTATTAGAATCGCAATGTTCACCAGATCTCCGCTTGTTCCTGTGTACTCTCTACCTCCCGCCGTGCACTCTCCTGGAGGAGTCGATACCACCATGTCGAAGTATGTGTGAGTCTGTGTATGTTCGTTGCAGCAATGTTCTAGACAGGCTGGGTGTGGCCTGGCCTGTGGCCTGTGATGACCTTTCTGACGAAGGGTCGTGTGTAACCAGCAACAACACACAAGCTGTCGATGCCCCAGCGGGAGGAAGTGTATCGCCAACACCCACCCCAGTATCTCTGAGCTCGAGTCTTCAACCTCTTGCAACACATCACCACATTCATGACCACTGGCGCTGTGAGCACACTCTCACCGGGCTGTGTAGGGGTCTGTACAACAACACGTTCATGCCAAACCTCTTCCAACACAGTTCCCGGGAAGCCGACCATCAGCTACACATGTTCTTGCCCTTGATAGAAGCAGAGTGTTCTCCCAATATCCTTGCTTTCCTGTGTACTGCTTATATTCCGCCGTGCACCTCTCTGCAGCGGCCAGCTCCACCATGCCGCAGCTTCTGTCTCACAGCCAAGAAAGGCTGTGACCAGCTCGTGGACACAATGGGCCTCCAATGGCCTGATGCGCTGAAGTGTAGCAATTTCCCGGAATATAACATGACTGATCCGTGTTCGGATGAGACATTCGAGATTGCACATGGCGACGCAGCAAGCATCACGGAGGACTCCTTACCAGTCACACAGCCGACGGCTCTTGTTACAAGTAGCCCTCCAGCGGTCCCTGGCATCGTCGGATTTCAAAAATTTAGTGCTGGTTGCGAGTTCATCACTGAACCAATGTGTCACGATATGCCCTACAACACAACTATTATGTCTGGCCTTAGCCACAGCAGTACAGAAGTTGCGAGCCTGAAACTGCACGAGTTCTTCCCTCTGGTGAAGATGAAATGTTCACCCGACCTGCAGCTGCTGGTCTGTAGCTTCTACGTGCCCATCTGCACCACCCTAGAGCGACCTCCCCCACCTTGCCGCAGCCTGTGCGTCTCCGCTAGACAAGGCTGCGAAAGACTGATGAACCAATATGGCTTCATGTGGCCGCAGGAGCTCGAGTGTGGCCAGTTTCCCGCAGACCAGCGCGAGCAGCTGTGTGTTGACAACAGCACCTTCCTCTCTGTCTAGTCTCAGGAGCGCCGTCTCCCAACGGACACAAAGGACATCAACACCATCCACCATGGTAGCCACCAGGGACATCAACCTCAGCTCCTCTACATCCCCTCCCCAAAAAAACAACTTTACAGCATGTTTCCACCACAACTCAATATTAATTAAAACAGTAACTAAATATTAAATCTGACGCATACCGCTGTAGCTCTCGTAGCGTCTGTGCCTGTCATCCAATATGAGTTCACAGATAATACACATAAATACCCATAAACAGTTAGTACCTACATCGTCAAAATATGGACTGTTGTTCCTAGAACATGTTATGTTCGCCCCTGTTCACCCAGCAGTTATTGGGTACCTGCTTGTAAACCGATTAGCGGGTCTTGTTTCAGGGAAACGAGTGGGCAAGGCTTGTGTGAAACTGTTGGGAACTGCGGCGCACTTCGTGGGAAACTACGTCAGGAAGTATAAAGAAAATGTGAAGCTTCGTTGAAAAGAAACCCGAAGTTATGCTGTGGTCGACACTTATCATACTGTGTAGTTCAAATGACAATTCCTGGCAAGGTCTGGAATTGGGAAAAGAGAGAGAGAGAGAGAGAGAGAGAGAGAGAGAGAGAGAGAGAGAGAGAGAGAGAGAGAGAGAGAGAGAGAGAGAGAGAGAGAGAGAGAGAGAGAGAGAGAGAGAGACAGAGAGACAGAGAGAGAGAGAGAGAGAGAGAGAGAGAGAGAGAGAGAGAGAGAGAGAGAGAGAGAGAGAGAGAGAGAGAGAGAGAGAGAGAGAGAGAGAGAGAGAGAGAGAGACAGACAGACAGAGAGACAGAGAGAGAGAGAGAGAGAGAGAGAGAGAGAGAGAGAGAGAGAGAGAGAGAGAGAGAGAGAGAGAGAGAGAGAGAGAGAGACAGACAGACAGACAGACAGACACACAGACAGACAGACAGACAGACAGACAGACAGACAGACACAGACAGACAGACAGACCAACCAACAAGTTGAACCAACCATGGGTACATAGCCTAACTTCTTGTATAATTGCCTACAAGAGGAACTGAATACAGTTCTCACCAGGGGCGCTGAACTTGGTGAGGACGGCATCACCTTCAACTTAATTAACCTGCTTCATTGTCTAATTGGTAGATCAATCCTTAAATTGTATACAACGATTCATATTACGAGGTAGATGAGTATGTCATACGGGACCAGCAGTCTCACTGCCTATAATCAACATTTAATCAACCTTATGTTTTTCCCTCCCACCTTACTGACATGTTGCATGTGTGAGACCCTTGGGAGAATGATGCTGGGTAGATTACTACAGAGACTTGAAGACACTACGCCTCCTAATGTTAATGTTTCGCACATGGTAAAACTGTGTATATTTGAATCGTGATACTTTCCCACTGTCTATGCGTTAGAAGACAAACACACACACATACACGCATGCACGCACAGACACACACACACACACACACACACACACACACACACACACACACACACACACACACACACACAAATCCCCTAACTAGGGACATATGTATGTACAATATTTCTTGACTTGAAAAGGCTTTCGATATTGCTAATAAGGAAGTAATATTATTAGAACTAGCAAAAATAGACAATGAGTGTTGACTGCTACAACCGATACAAGGTTATCTTACCAGCCGAAGGGCTCTGCACTGCTTAAAGGGTAGTCAAGTGAAACTAAATTAATGCAACTGCGCACTCTTCAAGGTGGAATTTTAATTACCACCTTGTGGTAAAATCCCAACAAGTCCCAAAATTAACTATACAGACGATATCCTTACATACACTAAGCTCCACCCTAAGATACAATCTTCCCTGAAAAAAAATTATGTTTAAACAAACTGGTAATTTCAAAAGTAGACCACAAGAAAAATCAAGATTGTAATATACCTATTGACTATATCTTCTCTATCCAGTATGTTTGCATCTCAGTTCTGTGCACATTAACTGGTATTTTAAGACTGTATCGAGGATATGTAAAGACAAACTCAACTCTCTGGGAACTGTACAGCTCTCAAAATGGTGCAAATGTTAAGACGAGGTTGAAATAATTAAGATGCTTGAACAGGTTATCTGGTGTGTGTTCGTGTGGGGTAGTCTTGGCCTTATAGGGTGCACAATAAACTACCGCTCACAACATGAGCAGTGCACAATCAACAAGCCGGCGGCGGCAACAATCGTCAAATCAGGAGGTTTCCTGTCGTGGACAGGTGTTGTGTAGTGACGCAAGGCAGCACGATTCAGACACCCTGTTTGCCGGGTCCGGGAGCGAGTCCTACCACACCAGCTGGGGGCGGGGGGGGGGGGCAGTTTAGTAGTTACTTGTACAACGGCCATTTGATCTAACACCTGTCAATGTATGATAAATTTTATCCTTATGGGAATACAGGATTTGTAGATAAGCTCACATTACTTGTTAACTTGTGTTTTCTGTATACATAACAAGACCTTGTTTGTGATAAGCCCTTTTGGCTAGTTATGTGACACACACACCACCATGCAACACACCTGCAACACACCTGCGGTGACAAGTGAATATGACGTAATATTAAAAGCCACATTGTGTGCTGGCAGATGTTGTCTGAACAGGTGTAGCGGAATCCATGGACTCCTGTGGACAACTACGACAATTCTTCCGCCTAATATAACAAATGACTGATGAAGATCCAAGAGCTGGCACGTAATAACATAACGCTTTGATTGATTGATAAAGATTAAGTCACCTAAAAGGTGGCACGGGCATGAATAGCCCGTAAGTGGCGGCCCTTTTGAGCCATTACCAGTATCAAGAGCTAATACTGGAGATCTATGGAGGTGCGACTGCACCCTGCGTGACGGGAGATGTCTCCCGTGAACTGAACACATAACGCTTCTGGATGAAGCTTATATATATGGGTGTCCCAGTATCTAGGGATGCACGTAGGGTGCAGTCGCACCTCCACAGATCTCCAGTATCAGCTAATGATACTGGTAATGGCTCTACGGGGCCACCACTTACGGGCTATTCATGCCCGTGCCACCTTTTGGGTGGCTTCATCAATCAATCAATCTATGGATGGTAAGGCCTGGGGGGTGGGAGCTTACTGTTGTTGTTAAAGATTTGCTACCTGGAACAAAAAGTTCCAAGTAACACGGGCTATGGTGAGCCCGTAAACCAGGAGCACTCACAGACCCTAGCCAGTTAAGCCATAACACCTGGTGACTGTGGGGCTCCACCGACTGGTGGGAGCTTGGCTGACAGGATGTTGCTGTTCAGTGGACTCTAACTTCCCCCTCGAGGTCATTGTACACTTGCACGTGTACAAGTATCATCCTCCTGTTCAGATGGCACGTTTTGTAACTATGTGCACCCCCCAGCACGGGCGTGTACATAGTTATAAACATTGACGAACAAAGCAATTAGACAGTAGAACTTTGTATTAATCACTTTATAGAGTACGAAAAAATGAAGCTAAAAACAAGCTTAAATGTTCCTAGGCCTAGTATGTACTATATTAGTATGTATACATATGTACACATAGGCCTAGTATGTACACATATGTACTATATTAGGCTTCAGACGGTGTATATTACGTCTAGGAACATAACATAAGAACATAAGAACAAAGGTAACTGCAGAAGGCCTATTGGCCCATACGAGGCAGCTCCTATTCTATAACCACCCATCCCACTCATATACTTGTCCAACCCGTGCTTGAAACAATCGAGGGACCCCACCACCAATAGGAAGGTTAGGTTAGTTTGTCTTTGCAACATAAGTAGAAAATCACTTTCCAGTTTGTCCAAATTCAATAGTATCGATTTCTACTTTATAATTGCGTTGTACGTCGGTATATGTACTATTGTCCTCATCAAGTACTATCAAAACTTACTTAAACGTACTATCAAAAGTACTATATAAGTACTATCAAAACATGAGGATGGGGTGACATATTATACACACAGTGGTGGTGTATGATAGTACACCAGTCATACCATTCTTACTAATGTACACAAAATTAATCATATAATTCAGTTTACATCCGCTGTGTCCCGTTTCCTTTATATAATTATTATGTCTGAGGAAAAATGTATTATAAATTTTGTTTCACGTTCCTGTAGGATGTATTCGATGTTTCTTTGGATACACGCCAGATGTATATGTATGTATATGTGTACATGTATGTATAACATAACTTGGAGACTTTCAGCGCCGTGGAGAGGGGGGGGGGGGGTGACCTGCTGCATGGGTAACAGCTTCTCCCCCCGAATCAACCTACCCTGGCTTTGCGCCCTGGTGAGGCCACTCCAGACCAGGCCGACACCAGAGCGCAACTCCATAGTCTCCTGAGACTGATGGATGCCTACTACTACTACTACTACTACTACTACTACTACTACTATTACTACTATGTATAACATTAATAATTGTGTAACTAGCGTCAAAAGATTGTTATTTGCTTAGCTAAATGAACTAGAGGGTTCAGTTCCTGAACTGATTATGTGCCTCTGTAATCCTTTACACTACCGCCCACAGGGTGGGTATGGGGTGCATAATAAAGAAAGAAATTGAATTGCCAGAGTGGAGTACCTTGTGCAGAGGCACAGGACGTATTCATCTTAGGAAACTCAAGTTCTTCGTTGAAATTTTCATTATCGAGGACTTATATTTTAGCTTACCCGATTCTTTCCAATTAATTGTATTCTTGATAAATTCTGTGCTTTGTAACTCCCCAGGTTGTAGCTTTTGTAACTGTATTTACCAATATCTCGATTGATCTTCCTAAATCGCTTCGAAAATGTTAAACATTTAATTTCTTGGTCTTACGATTGGTGGTGTCTACAGAAGTCAACACAAATAAAGTTTTTGAACGTGTTCAATGATATTTATGTTATACCTCTTGGTCCTAGATGTTCAGAATTCCTGTTCAACATACACGATCAGAACCTGCACGTGTATGAATGAACTTCAAATTATGTGACCTTACAAGAAAGTAAGAACTCACGTATATATAAATAAAATAAAATAAAACCATATTTATTCACAAATGGCAAGAAACAAAGCAGTTAGAAAATATGAAGATTCGGCTTATATAAACCAGATTTGAATAAATCATCTTGTCAAGTCTCATATACGACACGAGACTGTACAAGGTAATTTATATTATAAAAGCCATCTCTTGACCTGCATCTTAATATGTCTGTCTGCTTGTCTCCTTACCTGTCTCTCTCTCTCTGTCTTCCTTGGAACTACAGTACTGTCACTCGCTTCAGTTAACAATAACATGGACGAAATAGAACAAAATGCCTTGTAAAGCGCCACTAAACTCTTTAACCTGGTTTCTTACGCTTGTAGTGAGCGGCACCACCAATGGCACATCCTATTCACTAGTCGATTAAGGGTTGTGAGGCGGGACCCAAGAGCCGTGGCTCATCTCTCGCATACAACTAGGCGAGTACGAGCTACAGTGCTGCCAACCACAGGGCCGCCGTCAGAGTTACCCCTGCTTGTTTACTTCCATCAAAATGATAATTTTAAATTTTCTCCTCTGCAAACAGAGTGGCAGACAGCTGGCTCAAGTCAAGTGAGAAGGCGGTGGTGGAGGCCAAAACCGTCAGTGGGTTTTCAAAGCGTTATATGACCAAAGAGTACTGGGAAGAC